GTTTTTGTTTGAATTTGTAACTGTTAGATCATCATGTAATCGTCGGGATAGTTGATTTAACGGTTACAAATTCTGACGGAATGATTTTGAACGTAGCATTTCCCAATAAATCTACTATGTGCTTAAAGTACAAAATGTTACATATATGTTGGTTTATGAAGTATAATTCTCGAATTGATAGATGTTGTAATTTTTTAAGAATGAAATGTAATTCACGTAATTGATAAATGTGCTAGATTGTCACCACTTTAAAACATGGCATTTTAATTTTAAAACATATATATGCTCAAAAAGTATTATATGTCCCATACCTGTCTCATTGTTTTATCAATTTGAATCCCATGTTAGTCTAAATGTAATAATATCATATATATTGATGTAATATATGCATGATATAATAATTTTTTTATTTTTGTTTTATACATTATATATTACGACAAAAATATTATTATATTTCAACGAAAAATTATGTGGTATTATATTTCAATAGAAATTTCATCGGTTATTCCAATAGTATAACTTTCGTTGGAATGATTCCAACAGAAATTGCAAAGAAAATATTCCGCTGAAATATGTTTTTCATTGGAATTTTTTATGGAATTTGATGATTCTAACGGCTATATTTCCAATGGAATTTTACCGTAGGAATTTTCGTTAGAATTTTTATTTCCACCCCCGTTGGAAAATCTACCGTTAGAATCGTCAAAATCCAACAAAAATTCCAACGGAAAACTCAATCCAACTGAATATTTTTATTGAAAATTCCGTTGGAATCCATTGAAAATTTCAAAGGAATTAATAGCATTGAAATATCTATTGGAATTATCGGTGGAATAATTCTATTGAAATATATTTTCGTTGGAATTTCATCATTTTTCTTATAGTATATATATATATATATATATATTATTGAAGATCATGGATTTTTTACACAAAAAATAAATATAATTCAAAAGTTAGATGAAATTTACATAAAGTTGAATGACGTCCAACACGGTTAGTATCGGAATGCGTGTTTTGCCCTTGGTTTGGTGGAGGACGATAAGGGGTACATTGACGGCATTATTGAGGCAAGCCAATGTTCTATATGTTTGAGGAACCTCTTTGCTACTCTGCTATCCTCTGATATGCTTGGTCGTCCAGAGTATGTGTGGGACGTCTGTTGGCCTTACCTGTCCGATGACATATTATATAATCTGCGAAGAGTTCTACAGTATCCAATAACTATTCAATTAAAAATATACATTTGTGTTTTTTTATTTATTATTTTTTCATTTGTCCTTAAGTTGATTTGTTTGTTTGTCTTTTTCAGAGTTGGTGCTAAGCGACAAGCAGATAAAGAACCTTACTTTGGTGAGATTGAGAAGATATTGCAGAGACGTAGTACGAGTGTACGTGAATACAGTACCATGCCTTTTTCTAATCTCGATCGCAATGATGCATCGATGAACAGACTTGTGCTGGATGAGTTAAATTGCGATCGTCGTGCACTCGGGATTGAGAATAAAAAGTTGGTCACTAATATGACTGATGAGTAGCTCAACGTTTACACTCGATAATGGACTCGGTTTACAATAACCATGGCTGCCTGTTTACAATAACCCAACAGAAAGTTCTTTGTGTGATATTAGCCAGCAAAGTCCTTTGGCAGAATTGATTATACGGTGTTGATTGATCATTTGGAATGAAGCACCGATGATGAGTAAGTATTGCTTCCAGGCGGTCAACACTACCTTGCGAGCTTTAATAGATAAAGTAGATCCATCTTGGAAACATATCCCATTTTGCGGCAAGTCTGTTGTATTTGGTCGCAATTTCAGACAGATACTCCTTGTTGTCTCTAAAGGCACTCCGATTGGCATCGTGAATGCCACCATCAGTTCATCCAATTTTTGGCGGGATTGTATCATTTTGAAACACAATTAGATTATGAGACTTCAAAGCCTTGGTGGGGGTGACGAGTACGATGAGTTGAAGCGCTTCTTGTAGTGGCTTGCAAGCATTGACGATGGTACAATCGGTGGATCGAATGATGGTTGTGCCGATATCGATTCTCGACGATATACTTTTGAAATCAAAAGGGGATCCTATTGCTGCTATTGTTGAGACTACGTACCCCATGTTCAGGAGTTCGGGAGACGACCTTAGTTATCTCAAGGACAAAGCTATACTTGCTCCGACACTTGATGTCGTTGAGTCCTTTAACGAGTACATGAGCTCATTGAACTCCTCAGAGGCAAGGACTGATATTAGTTTGCACGCCGCTTGCTAGTCATATACTAGATATGACTCTCTTCACGATCTTCATACTTCTGAATTTTTCAGTGGGATTAAGTGCTCAGGGCTTCCGAATCATAAATTGCACTTAAAGGTCGGCACTCCAGACTCCAGTGATGTTGCTGAGAAACATTGATCACTCCATAGGGTTGTGCAATGGTACTATTGTTCAAAATTATATCTATCATTTATATTTTCTTTGATTCGCGAACAAATTCAATTGATATGTTTTTGTTGTTCGAATTTTGAGATCAAAATTTACTCGATTGGTTATTACTAAGCTCAACAACCATATCCTCAAATGCAAAAATTTTACCAGTGCCAGAGCTGGTGATAAGGTTTTTAGACCTAGGCTCACAATAATACAATACGATTTGAGGGTACCTTTCCAGTTTCAGTGCAGACATTTCTCGCTCATGATTTTCTCTGCTATGACAATCAATTAAAATCAAGAACATTCTCTGTCGCACATCAGCTTACTACTGGAGAGCCATATATTTAGCCACGAGCAATTGTATATGGCGTTTTTTAGAGTTACGAGTCGGATGAGTTTGAAGATAATGAATTGTGGTGATTGAGATTATCTTACGATAAGAAAACCACGAGCGTTGTAATATAAACAACTGTTTTAATAATATTTAGATTTTCTTTCTTAAAACTTTTCTTTCAATAATTATGTTATGATTTTACTTTTGTTTGTATCTTTTGTTATTTTATTCTTTATCATATAACTATATGTGCAAGTTATAACTAGTTGTAGATAATTTTAGTGACATTTGTATAGCCTATATAAATATCCACTAGGTACACATACACGGGGAAAAGCGTAATAGACGAAATGCGTTGAGAGAGTATTTTTCTTTAAAAAAATCGTTTTCCAACGTCTAATGTCCATTATTAAAACTACTTGATAAAATCCAGAGTAACTAAATCCAAAGTATTATAGTTGATTTAAGAAGGGGAGGATTTATTTTATTATTATTTTTTTTATCGACAAATGTAAATTTATAGATTAAAATTGGAGTATAAACGACTGACTAACGACATACAACAACGCAATGGGAAACCACAAATTCGGCTTCTCACTCGCGGATAATAAGTCTAAAAGGCGACAACAAGCTAGTTGCTCACTCAACTCTCAAATTTAGACAGAAAGACAACCACCAAGATTTTCAAAAAAAAGGACAAACCTTTTACATTCGACAAGCACATTCGGATACAATGCAAAAATTGTACGATAAAGAGTTTGGATCTTACAGATTACTAGTCTCGGAGGTTGGGATTCATTTTCAAAAATCAACCTATTTCTCGCAATTCAAATGAACTACACGGTAGCCGCGAGCGCCGCTTTTCTTCAACTTGGCTTGCCAACTAGCCCCTCGTGCCTCTTTTTTTGGTCCACTTAAGATCTCATTTGAGTGTCAAAAGGCCTATGACAGAGGCTAACCCAATCACGAATCACCCTCCAAATTCCCGAGCTAAAGGAACATTCAAAAAGTAGGTGACCCGATGATTCTACAACGCCTCCACAAAAAGAGCAAGTCGGGTCTTCATCAAGGAACTCTAACCGGTCCTTTGTACGGAGACGAAGCACTTTCAACCAAAGAATGAAAGAGTGTTTGGGCGTATTGCAAGGGCCCCAAACCACCCCGTCCATGCCACCAAAGCACCCTGGGACCTTAAGAAATCATAGCAACTTCTCGACCCTTGTGAACTCCAACGATAAAGTATAGCTTTCGCGGCTTCATTCACCAATTCATGTACTAAATTTGTTCGTTCAGAGGCAAATAATTAAGGGGATGAAAGTTAAATAGTATAGTCATTAACTTATTAAGATAAACAAATTTTGGAAAATTATTCACTATCTTCTTCTAAGTACCAATCCTTAATAAGATGTTACTTTTAGCAATGCATTACATACATTACATACATTTATATTAAATTATTTTCAATATTATCTTGGCATATGAGGCTATATTGATAGGAGGACCTTATTATTGTAGTCTTTCTTTTGACCAGCCCTAGCTGATGATTTGAAACCCAGTCAGTGTGACTTTTGATAACTCAACGTCATCTTTAGAGACTGTTGAACATGCGCCTCGATTGGGCCTGGCCCATACATTATGTCATGATATTGCTAATTTAATTTTACTATGTCTAGAAATGGTTTTTAGAGGGCCTTTGTTTTGAGATATGACCCGTGGGCCTTGATAATTTTATTACAGTGCGATTTCAGTAAGCTCAGTAATAATTGTACGAATTGCACGATTATGTCACTGCAGACCATTGCTGCAGTTTTTTTTTTTTAT